ACACACGACCATAGATATTATAGAATACGTATCAAAGAGCGCTCTGTGGTTCATATTGTAATCAGTAACCCAGGAATCACAACTTCAAATCACAAATACCTCGATGATGAGGAAGAGGAAGAGGCTTAAGGAGAAGCCAAGGAAGAGGGATTTTGATAGGCAGCTTAGTTGTTGTTGTAAAGACTTAACTAAAACTCTGTGTTTTTTTGTCGCTACCTTGCAATCTCTTGAAACTCCTTATGAATCTGTGTCTTAATGACACGCTTTTGAGACTAAGTTGGTTTTGTGTCACGGCTTCAGTTGTTAGACTGATTATATTTTGTATCGTTGTGTGTTTTCCCTAATCAGGTTCCACACAAGGTCGGACTCCATCATCAAAAGGTATATCCTTAATACTGATATCTGGTTTTGATTTATACGTTTGTTTCCCTACTAGAGCACTAATCATGATCCCTGATAGTTGATTCTTTGTGCGTTAATGGATACAACTTTGGTACTAGGAACTGACAATAATCTGATGCCATCTTAGAATCTCTTGTCTTAGAAAGGTAAGTGTTCACCAATTATCAAATGCTTGACATGTCATGATCTTTTTGCTTGCAAACAGCATCTGCAGAGGAAAACAAAACATTTTCCTCTTTTTCAGTCTTTTGCATTACTTCATTTCCCTTTAGAAACTTGATACACTGCTACTGTTTGAAAGTATTAGTGTATATTACTTCATGTGCAAATGGGGTTGTTGATTATTGATTGTTTTATTACTATAGGCTGCTGGTATCCCAAAGAAGTTGGCTCCTACAATGTATCACTCATAGGGTTTTAACCTAACAATTCTCCCTCTGATGATGATCTTTTGAAAATCGCTCTGTGAAATAAGTTTTTACCGATTTAGTGTTTTAGTGTAAGAGAAGTTGGAAAAAGTATTCCATTTTCTAAAATATCAACTAAAATTATGCATAATCTAAGATAATCAATCCAAAAGTATAGGTTACTATTTCTTAGTCGGCTTATTATCTATGTTTTAATTTATGATATATTTTGCTATTTTCAAAGCACACAGCACCAATGTATAACCCGCATTCATAGAAGGAAACATATAAGGTTTTGATATGATTACGATCCTAGTCATTTATTAGCTAAATCATGCAAAATCTTGATCCGATTCTAGACAAATCAAAATTTTTTTTTGGTAGGGTCTAGACAAATCAAATAAACATGTTGTATATTTAACACTCATAAATCTTTAACACTTTAATTTAAAGATAATCGCAATTCGATTATGACACTTATGTTATTCTATTTTTGACACTTATGTTATTCTATTTTTGACACTTACAAGTACTCGTAAATTCAATCATGAAAACGATATAGTTTGTCTGATTATTATGATATTGATTTGGACTAACTCATACTCATATTCTACAAATATACACCATATATTCAAAACATGAGAATCTCTCGAATGTTACATAACATAAATTGAACCGAGGTCATCTAAGCTAACCACACAAAGAGTTCACGTTAGCCCGCCATTGGCCGAGATGATGGACCATGACTTATAGATCAGTAGTAACGTCTTAAATAAGCCCCATCAGGTCATAATGAATGTGTAAATCTTAGAGAGTAGATTGCAAAAGCTTTAGTTTATTATTGACAATCAAAGGATATATAGAGTTACATAAGACTTAATTCACAAGTAAAGAATATTTAGCAAAGATATCAATTGGAAATTATCCTTATCCGTAACACTCCCCCTCAAGGTGGAGCATGTAAGTTAAGAACGCCCAACTTGGACCGTAGATACTGAAACTGATCGCGACCTAGAGCTTTAGTGAAGATGTCAGCCGGTTGTTCATGAGTGGAATGAGTGGCAGTAGCAATATTGCCAGAGACAATCTCATCACGAATGAAATGACAATCACTCTCGATATGTTTAGTCTGCTCATGAAACATCGAATTAGCTGCAATGTGAAGAGTAGCTTTACTATCGCAATATAAACGCTTAGGCTGAGAATGTTTCACACCAAGAAACGAGAGGATCTCCTTTAGCCACAAAAGTTCTTTACAAGTCATAGCCATAGCTCTATATTCAGCTTCAGCTGAGGAGAGAGAGACGCGAGACTGTTTCTTTGTCTTCCAAATAAGCGGAGAATCACCAAGCATGACCACATAACCAGTAAGAGACTTACGAGTTTTTGGACACGAATTGTAATCAGAATCACAGTATGCATTGACTTGAAGTGGAGCCATGGAAGACAAGACAATACCTTGTCCCGATGATGACTTTAAGTAGCGAACTAAGCGCTGTGCAGCTTCCCAATGATCTCTAAGCGGAACTTGCATGAATTGAGCAAAAATATTCACCGCATAACTTAGTTCGGGCCGAGTATGTGTAAGATATACAAGACGGCCAACTAGACGATGGTATTGGTCAGGTGCGTCAAATGGTTCACTAGTAGAAGAGAGCAATTTGTGATTTTGCTCGAAAGGAATATCAACAGGACGAGAACCGGAGAGACCACATTCTTCAATTATATCAAGACAATATTTCCGTTGAGAAAGGAAAATCCCATCTGGTCCATGAGCAACTTCAATACCAAGAAAGTACATCAACATCCCAAGGTCTTTCATCTTGAAACATCGACTCAAATAGGCTTTAAATGATGTTATAACTGTAGCATCATTCCCGCATACGATCAAATCATCAACATAGACGAGAACATGAAGCAAAACTGAACCACGAGTATAAGTAAAAAGTGAGTTGTCTTTGTGAGAACGACTAAACCCGTAGTCTAGAAGAGCGGTGGAGAGCGTGGAAAACAAACATCGTGGAGCTTGTCGTAGACCATAAATGGACTTCTTTAGTTTACATACAAGAGACGGATCAACGGGAAGAAAGCCTGGAGGAGGTTTCATGTATATATCTTCGTCTAGATCCCCATGTAAGAAAGCGTTGTGAACATCCATTTGATGAAGGTCCCAATTGTGGATGTAGGATTCACACTCGATTATCTTTAAGTATTTCAGTGGAGAAAAAATCTTGTAAAATCAGGAAATGAATATGAGAACTCGAAAAGGAAATCAACCAAGAAAAGAAGTAAAGAAATTTGACAAGAACAAAGTACAAAATGCCTTGCGAAAGTAGTAAAGAGAGAAAAATATATTGTATTTCTCCGAAGTAATGAGTAATGAGATTCTTTCCCCAAACACATACGTTTGAAGTTGTTTTTATAGAGAAAAAATGACCAATGCGGTCATTTACTGCTCATAATCGCATTGATCCGCATTAATCATGTAAGTTACAATTTGACCGAAACGGCTTGAATTCGAACTATCTTGGGCTTAACGTGGACCTTCCGAACTCTTTCTTGTTGACTCCGAACTCCTGCGTCTTGACGCTACCGCGAGCCTCGAACAATATTCTCCTCGCTTCGGCCTTTCTCTATGCGAACTGTATGTTGAATAAGAGCGAACTTCATACTGGTAAAGATCGAACTCTTTTAGTAAACTGAATCGAACTCCCGACTGGTTAAGCTCGATTCTCATAATAAAATATCTTTAATTCCAAGAGGATTATTATGTAATAATGACGTGGACAGATCCAGACGGATCCTACTGAAGATGTGTGGGATTCGACCCCAACATTTAGCCCCCCAAGTCTTGCGAGCTGAGTCCTCGGCTTGGAAGACTTAAGTAAACAGTAATTAATGAGTCGAGATCTTTATCATTCCAGAATTACCCCATGTTTTACGCTATTACACCGATCTCGGATAATCAAATGATTTGATTTCTTTGACAACCGTCATCATTAATTTTATAATTTTATATTAATACTGCGGGGAAAACTGTCCCACTTCCCAATATTCTCGAGGCGGTTTTCCGCTAAATAGGGTTAAATGGAACGACGGCTTTTACAGCGTACATTCACCCCTGAAAGCTTTTACCAAACCAGAGAAAGAAAAATTTCTTAGTAAAAAAATGTCTTCCCCAGCCGTCTACGTTTCAGACAATGAAGATGACAGCCAAGGAATCCCTGTTCCCAGAGGGGACAAAGTCTTCACGCAGACGGGAGATAAATTCGGTCTGCATTTCAGGTCTCAATCGACCCATGCTTCTCTTGGCGCTCTTCGTCGCCTTTGTAACATTCCTCAAGAAATAGAATTTTCTCTTCCTAGACCCAACGAGTCTCCGGAAATGGTGCGAGAGGGTTACTGTTGTGCGTACGAAGTCTATTTCAAAGGTTGTGGTTTATTTTTTCCCATACCGGAAGTTCTCCTTTTGTACCTCCTTCATCTAGGGATTGCTTTTCCCCAAATGGCTCCCAACTTCCTCCTGTACTTTCTGAGCACCCTGACCGTCTCGGCGGAGGCATGGTTTTCTCTCACCAACAGCGAACTCTTAAGGCTATTTCGAGCCCGTGATTCTGCGGCAGCGGGTATTTTTTCCATGAATCCTATTTTTGACCGTAACCTCATCGACGGAATGCCCCTAAATGACGGGCCTTGGAGGAAATACTGGTTCTTTTTCCGAATTAATCCTCATTCCGTCCAAGGGTTTTCCGGTCTTCTTCTCCCAAATTGGTCGCCCAAACTTGGTTAGAATCATCTTTTATTATCTTTCACTGTTTTTGTGCGAAAGACATAGAATTCTTAACTCAACACTTTGTTTCAGGGAACCAGACGATCCGCCGCCCAACTGTTGACTTCTTATCTTTCTTTCGAATCGTTCTGAGGGTGAAACAAATTGGATTTCTTCACCCTTCTACGTATTCATAAAGCGGGGCTCGCTATCAAAGATGGTCAAACTCACCCCCTCGATCCTCCTTCCGAAGAAAAGGACGCCTCGAGCCTGAATGCTCGAGATAAGAGAAAAATGTTCGCCGAGACTAAGGCTCTTAAGGATCAGTTATCCAAAATTGGGAAAAAGAAACGGATAGCTGCAATCTCCAAGGTTGGTAACTTCCACAGGAAGACCCTCTTGGTTGATGATGGTTCTTTAGAAGCGGCTTTGTCAATTGCGGTGGATTCTCATGGAGCCGATATTCCTAACGATCCTCCGGTTGCCACCGCTATCTGCTCTTCCGCACAAGAGAGGGAGAGAGAAGAAACTTCTTCTCTTTGCACAAAGAGGAAGGCTCCAGACTCTGATACTTTATCAAACGAGAGACTCAAAGCCGTTAGATTAAGTTCTCCGCCACGAGCCCCTAGCCTTTCGCATTCTGTTTCCCCCTCTTCAGAACCTTTAGACTCCGAGCTCCCTCTTCCGGGAGACAGAGTAGTTCTAGAAGAAATCGATGAGCAGAGACAGGAGGCTTCCTTGTCTCAAGGACTGAGTGTTAGGACTCAAAACCCCTTACTCGCTTCGATTTCTGGTAAGTTTTTTTAGAACGCGAGCCTTAGCAAGACTTGTTACAGACTGTAGCTATTTTACCAATCTACTATTCTCCTCTGTTTTGTAGGCGGAGAAGAGATTGGAGACATCTTCCGAAGTTTTTAAACCAGGGAAGGAACATCCCTTCCCCCCTTTTCGGTTTAGAGGCCAGAAATCCGTCAGATGTACGTCAATCGAGCCTGAAACCTATCCCAGGTTCAGATTTGTTTTTTTGATTTTGGTTTTGACAACCCCTTTTTCTTAAGTAAAAAACTTTTTGTCTTAATGACACGTTTTTTTTTTTTTTTACTCCGAAGGCGTTTATGGAGACTAATGGGATGATCTTCCATTCTGAGAACCTTCTTCACCAAGCGATGGGAGAGACCGCAAAGGCTAAGAAGGAGGTTGATGAACTTAGATTAGCCAATCAGTCTGAGCGACTTGAGCAGGCAAAAGCCCTCGAATCATCCTTTGAGAATATGAAGAAAACTCTAGCAGCTAATGAGCAACGCATCAATATTGTGAACGCTGAGAGAGATTCTGCGAGGTCTGATGCTCTTCGCTTGGAGTCTGAGCTAGAAGAGGCTACGGCTTTGTTTGAAGAAACGATTAAAAAAACCGAGCTTTTAATTAGGAACAGGGCTCGCGACATCGCTGAAGCCGAACATAACGTTCGAGAAGAGATGAGGGGATTCGGTAGGCAACTTATTCAATCTATTACGAAGTTTACCAAAGACGAAGAGGTCTGGACTAAACTTCTAACCGATCGAGCTGAGCTGAAGAGCAATCTAGACCTGATTGGGGAACTAGAGAATGGAAGAGTTTCGTTCGAGAGTGAGAGGAGAGAAGTTGCTGCCGAACTCGCTGCGGTTGAATCCGAGCTATCTTCGGCTTCCCGCCCTACTCTTGATCTGAAATAATTTTCTTCGATATTTGGAGATTCCCCCTCTCAATTCGAGGTCGGTGAAGGTTCTCGTCCATACGAGGGTTCTCCTGAGGCAGAAGAATGTTCTTAAAAAATTGTTTTGTTGAATCCATGAGGAATACTCCGTTTGACGGAAATGTTTTGTTTTTAAACAGTGTGACTGAACACAATCATGTACATGCTCCTGCATATGATGATTTTTTTTTTATTTAAGTAAAACGTTTGGATGCGATTCCAGGTTTGCAAGTCCTAGCCCACCAAAGAAGTTTTATGAATTGTGAGAGCTGAGCTGATCAGGCTAACTAGCCTTTTTTAAAGAAAAAATTGTAACAAGTATTTTTTCTCGGTATCTCGGATGCGAGGATGGAGCTCGGCTTAGGCTTTTTATCGAGGGATAAGGTTTCTATAATTCATGAGAATTTTGTCATAAAAATGACCAGGCAATGGTTTCGATCATGGCCTAAAGACGGCTTTGAAAGTGTTGGGCCATATTTTAATTGGACCCGAAGTCTGCTCTAGCAGGCCCGCAATAGGTTATTATTTAAAGAAAACTGAAGACCTTTCTCCTTTAAAAGGATTCTGAAAGACTATCACAGTTTATTACAAGAAGAAATATGCCGCTATCTTCTTTTAGATCAAGCTCAAGAATAACGACTTCAAACGGGGATCCATTGTTTGAATTAGAAGATGGATTCTCTCCAAAGGGAGTAATTCACCCAACGTTTTTTCATTTCCGAACGGGTAAAGAAAGGATCAAATGTTTTGACTTCCTGGAAAAAGTTTTCTTTCTAATTTTTAGTCTTTTAGGAAGACTGTAAATTATTTTTTGGACAGTTGACAAAATGTTTGTTAAAACAGATCGTCGGGAGACATAAGACTTTATGTGATAAGAGAAAAAGAATCGGAAGGAGGCGCCGTGCTCTTGATGAGCGCATAAAGAGGATGGAAAGAGAGATCCTTCGCCTGGAATCTGAACCGCATGAATGGGAGAGGAATGGTTTAGACATCGTGGCCATTATTCCTACTTGCCTCCGAAGATTCCTCCGCATGCTAGATAAATTTTTTCATCTATCCTTGGCAACCGGCGACGGATCCTCTTTTGTTTCGTGTTCTTCAGAATTTCGGAGATTTCCGATGTTAAGAACTGAAGAAAATGAAGGACCGGAGGAGAAGCCTATTGATCCTTCTTCCGGTCTCCTCGATTTATCTTCCGACGAGGGACTTTCTTTAGAAAGTTGCTCGGGATCGTCCACCTCGCTGGAATCGTTATCGGGCGAAGACTTCTGATCGAACAAGTCCCTTGATTTTTTTTTAACAACGCTACTGGGCTAGAGGCCCGGCGATATTAATTACATTCCCCTTTTGCTTTAAATTTGCCGATTTTCCCAAATCTTATTTAATGCGTTTAATCTAGGGAATATAATTAGTTGATATGACTATGGGCGAACAAGACTCGGAACTAGAACCACCGGAGCAGCTCGTAGCCGAGGAATAGCTCGTAGCCGAGGAGCAACATGTAGCGGAGGAAGCTTTGGCCAACCCAACGGGTCCGATGACTTGTTCAAAGACAAGACTTCTCAACCAAGCCGTTAGCGGACTCCTTAGTCACTTGGACCAGCGCACAAGCGGAGTTATCCAAACCACTTTGGTTTCGATAACAGCCCAAGACAATTGGTAATGGGCTAAGTGTTACTTGGGTACTCTTTTTCCCTTCTAAGGTTTTGTCCCAATGGGTTTTCCTTAGTATGTTTTTAATGAGGCTTGAGTAACACTTCCAAAACCCCCATTATCAATTCGGCCCAGCCCATCCTAAAGAAGAAGAAGAATCTCGCAAATTTGAAGGCCAAGGGTCATATTTTGTGTTCAATTTTCGTTTTAATGCTTTGTTATTTCCGAGTTTTCTTGGAGCTTGTTCCAAGACTAACTCTTCCCCTTCTCATTTCTCTATTTAAGTCACTTGTACTTCTTCTTTGAAAAACATCTAATCTTTTATCAAAAACTCTTCAAGTTAGATCAACTTCTTGTTCTTCTCTTTGGTGCGTAATATCCAACGACGAGATCAAGATCGGTAAATCAAAGGGCTTCCGCAACCTTTGTGCGACCATTCAATCCATTTCCTTTGCACCAACTTGATATTCCCATCTCTTTGATGCAAAGACCTTCCCTTACTCAACCTCAAGAGTGCCGATCTTAGGAGAGTTCTATCAAGTGGTATCAGAGCACGCTCTGAAGTTGAGTACTCTATCCATCCTCATCTTTCATCATTCCATCATCTCGTTCCATTCATTTCACCCGTTCATCTTTTCATTTCATTTTCTTTGTCTGTTCATCTTCTCGTTAGACTATTCATCTTCACTGTCATCTTGTTTTAATTTTCATAAATAATTGGCTTGTGATTAAATTACGAAACCAGTTGGATCTGAATCTAGGACGAGTCTAGTATTTTACAAAAGTGTTTCTGGAATTTTTAAGCATGATTTGATATTTTATTTTGTCCGTTCAAGTTCATCTGTTTTAGGAAGATCGTTGCTATTTTTTTTCTTTGAACTAGTGACTGGTTTAGCTTTGTTGTGTTGACAGGAATGGTGACATCCGATTCAAGCTCGGGGGTTAGTTCTAATAACAAGATCCTCATCGAAGCTCTCACGATACAAATGGATAAAATGATGGATGCCAAGCTTAAACCAATTACCGATCATCTTAAGGGGAAAGAGAAAGCGCCGGGTGAACAAGTCATCATCTCGGATGGAGCCCGATCTCGAAAGGAGACGAACCACCAAACCAAGGACCCGAGGAAAGAAACGGCTGATAAAAATGCTCAAGAATACTACAGCAGCCACGGTAACTTTTCTCACCGGAGCAGCCGGAGGACGAGACGTAACGGAGGAGAGAGAGATTTGATGGTCGAAAATCTTGGACGTTACAAGATGAAGGTACCGCCGTTCCATGGAAAGAATGATCCGGACGCCTACTTAGATTGGGAGAAGAAAATGGAGCTTGTATTCAATTGTCACAATTTCACCAACGTCAACCGTGTGAAAGTAGCCGCTACCGAGTTCTACGACTATGCACTTAGTTGGTGGGATCAAATTGTCACTATGAAACGGCGTAATGGAGAATATCCGATTGAGACATGGGAAGAACTAAAGCTTCTCATGAGGCGTAGGTTTGTGCCTAGCCATTATCACCGTGAGCTCTACTCTAAACTCCAGAAGCTAACTCAAGGTGCGCGGTCCGTGGAAGACTATTACCAAGAGATTGAAACTTTGATGTTGCGTGCGCATATAATAGAGGATAGAGAGGCAACAATGTCAAGGTTCTTGGGAGGATTGAACCGTGAAATTCAGGATCGTGTCGAGATACAACACTACGAGGAGTTGGAAGGGATGCTACATAAGGCTATCCTTGTGGAGCAACAACTTAAGAGAAAGGGTTCCTCAAGGCCGAGTTATGATTCGAACCGACCTAGATATCCAAGAGAAAGCAAACCAGCCGTCGTTCCTAAAGTCGAGCCTAGATCATTCCCGACCATCCAAGACCAAGACAAGACCAAGCCCGAAGGCACCACCACTTCTAGATCCCGTGATCTCCGATGCTTCAAGTGTCATGGACGTGGGCACTATGCTAATGAGTGTACAAATAAGAAAGTGATGGTCATAAGAGAGAATGGTGAGTTGGAATCCGAAGACGAGCCCATACCGCAATCAGAATCGTCGTCCGAAGAGTGTATTGCCAAGCCGGCAAGTGGAAAGCTCCTAGTGTTGAGAAAGGTTTCAGAGGATCCGGAAAAGGAACAAGACATGGACTCATCCCCGGATAAGTATGGAAAGAGGTCCGGAGAATCTTACGTTGCAAAGCGAACATTAAGCATCCAAACCCGAACCGAGGAAGAAGAGCAAAGAGAGAACCTATTCCATACGCGATGTCTTGTCCATGAGAAAGTTTGTAGTTTGATCATCGACGGAGGAAGTTGTACGAATGTGGCGAGTGAGACAATGGTCCGAAAACTTGGGTTGAAGCCGCAAAAGCATCCTAAGCCGTATCAACTACAATGGCTTAACGACGATGGAGAAATGAGTGTTAAGAACCAAGTGGTTGTTCCATTAGCGATCGGAAGCTACGAGGACCGAATTCTTTGTGACGTACTACCAATGGACGCCGGACATATCCTTTTAGGCCGACCATGGCAATCGGATCGGAGAGTGATCCATGACGGTTTTACTAACCGATACTCGTTCCTGTTCAAAGGCAAGAAGACCACTCTTATTCCATTGACGCCACAAGAGGTATATGAGGATCAACTCCAACTCTCGGCCAAGGAAACCAAAGTTCGTAAACAGCCTAATTTCTTTATTAAGGCTAACAAGGTTAAGCAAGCTATGTTCTCTAAACAACCTATTTTGTTATTGGTTTACAAAGAAGCACTAACGACTTTGGCTAACCTTGCACCGGCCGATCCGAGTGAGTTGACTTCCCTTTTGCAGAATTACAAGGATGTGTTTCCTGAAGATAGCCCCAATGGTTTACCACCTATCCGGGGAATTGAACACCAAATTGACTTTGTGCCGGGAGCAACACTACCAAACCGTCCGGCCTACCGAACCAATCCGATGGAGACCAAGAAAGTTGTGCCTTCGTTGTGCATTCATTAAGAGATGTCGTCCACCCACGAAGAAGCTAATGAGGAACCCTAGAGCGTTGTCGCCCTCTACAGTCGATCCGAAGCTTTGAAGACACCAAACCTCTCTTTTTTCTCTGGTTTACTCTAAGATCTATTTAGGTGAATTCTTACCTCTTGTTTTCGACATTCAAAGAAGTAATCTCTAAACCCTATTCAGTTCATATTCATCTTATTATTATGAGTTTATCAAACCTTAATTTGATGAGTTCCTTAACCATGCTAGAGTAGTTTTCTAGTTGGGTTTAAATGGCTAATTAAAGGAGGGACATGATCGATCATCTATGTGGCGATACTTAGGGTTTTGTTTGACCTTTTACACTAAATTCTTTCTAGTTAAGCTTTTTTTTAACACTACAAGAAATATGGACATTGATAGCACATTAAGATAGCACGATTTCTGTAACTGCTATTAAAAGTGAAATTAGAGTTTTTAGAATAAACTCATAGCGTTACAGTAATGCTATGCCCAAAAAATCAATAAGCGGCAACTAAAAACGTGAGTCCGCCTTATTAGTTTTATGACTAAGCGCCAACACTTAGAAAAAAGGGTTTTAGCGGTTTATGAGTAAAACAATAGCAGTGGCTATTGAAAAACAAAAGAGAAACTAAAGAAAGGAAACAAAAAACAAAAATCTCTCGCTATCTCCGCCGAATCCTTACGAGATCTCTGTCTCTCCTCGCGACGATTGGCCGGTTCTCTCCTCGCGACGAGATCTCTGGCTCTCTTTTGTTTCTCTGTCGATTTCATCTTCAAGATCTCTCGCTATCTCTGCTGAATCCTTCGATCTCTCGCAGCTCTTCTCAGCTCAGATTTCATCTTCTAGATCTCTCGCTATTTCAATCTCAGATTTTCAAGGTCTTCAGGTGAACGTAATTTGTTTCCTGTATGGTTAATTTCTGCTGAAAAATTGAAATTTTAGAAGCTGAGAGTTAGATTTGTAGTTTCTTGAGATGTTATTTAGTTGGAATTTGGAGTTAGGGTTTCTTGAGCATTTACATGTTTAATCTCACAACAATGTATATGACTTTCGAAGAAGCTTAAATTGTTTACATTTGGTCGTTTGATTTTCGTGGATAAGTAATTTTAATCTCAGTTCATTGTTTCGTTGGTTGTTGTTTCAGGAGGTTCGGCGTTTTTTAGCTGGAGTAATTGCTGTCTAAGAGGTGATGTGTTTGCCATTGCTTTTTAAGCTCAGTTCATTGTGTTCTAAGTTCATTGTGTTCATTGTGTTCTATGCTGGAGTAATCTCTTGTGTTCATTGTGTTCAATGATAGTCAATTCCATACTGTTAAGCTCATTGTGTTCATTGTGTTTTTTAGCTTTGCTTTTTCTTTAACAATCTGAGCTCATTGTGTTCATTGTGTTTTTTAGCTTTGCTCTTTTTTGTCTTTCATTCTTTTGGAATATGGTTTGATGTTCCTCTTCTAGCAACACTGTTTTTGCTTTTTGCTTTTTCTTTAACAATATCAATTCATTGTGTTCTAAACATGATATAATACGGTTTGTTTTTGTGATAGGTTACACATATCTAGCAAGCTACACTACACATTATCTCCCAACCATACGACAGGTTTGCTCTTTCTCATGCTCTTAGTTTTCTCAGTTCAGAGTGAGTATTGTTATTTATGTTTGATAAAGAGCATTGTTCATTGTTTATGTGTGATGTGTGTTGCTATAAGATTATAGTGAGTACTGTAGATTGTTCTTATTCTATGTTTATTTAAGGTTGATTTACTACATTGATGTGGCTTTATATTGACTGCAGTTTGTTATTTTCCTATGTTTATTTTAGGTTGATTTATTACATTGATGTGGCTTTACTTATATTTTGTTACTTGTGTATGTTTGATGTGGCTTTTATTGACTGTTTAGGCTTATTTATAGTGATATGATGATTAGTTAATATGCATTGTTGCTCTAACGGTTTCAATGAAGGTAATATCATAAAATGTTGGACAAAGCATGGGTGCATCTTTGCAGGCTTGATCCTGGTTAGGAGATAGGTGCATGGAATTTTGTCCAAACTGTCTCTGCAAATCAAGGAGACAATCAATTGATAATTTGCCCTTGTATAGACTGTCGCAATGTAGCTCGTCATTCATGTAGTGATGTAGTTTCTCATCTTGTAACACGAGGTATGGATGAGGATTACAAACTGCGTAACGACTGGTACCATCATGGAGAATATAACTCAGTTTCTGAAGCTGCAAAGAAAGTAACCCAGTTTAATGAAGAGATTGATGGGTTATTTAAAGCTGCTGAGTATGAAGATAATGAGTTTGCTAATGGAGATGACTTTTGTGAGACTGAAGAGGTAGAAGACAGTAGAGAAGATGCTTTTCTGAAAAAGTTAACAGATGCAGAAACCCCTTTATATCCAAACTGTGCAAACCATAGCAAGCTATCATCTATCGTCTCATTATATCGACTCAAGACACATACTGCTGGTCTGATAAGAGCTTCAACGACCTCCTTGAGACACTGTCAGATATGTTACCAGATGGCAACGTGTTGCATACATCATTGTATGATGTAAAGAAGTTTTTTAAGTCTTTTGATTTGGGTTATCAAATGATTCATGCGTGTATCAACGATTGCTGCCTATTCAGGAAGGAGTTGAAGGACCTTGAATATTGTCCAAAGTGCAGGGCTTCAAGATGGAAGACTAACTTGGAAACCGGTGAGGTCAAGAAAGGTGTACCACATAAAATTTTACGGTACTTTCCAATAATCCCAAGGCTGAAGCGGATGTTTAGGTCTGAGGAAATGGCCAAAAACTTAAGGTGGCATGCTACTAACAAGAGCACAGATTTGAAACTCAGACATCCAGTAGACTCTGTGACTTGGGATCAGATGAGTCACAAATATCCTTCATTCGCGGCTGAGGAAAGAAATATCCGGCTAGGACTATCCACAGATGGGTTTAATCCCATTGACATGAAGAATAGTCAGTATAGTTGTTTGCCGGTTCTATTAGTAAACTACAATCTACCTCCACATCTATGTATGAAAAAGGAGAATATTATGCTCACCTTGCTAATTCCTGGTCCACATCAGCCTGGTAACAATATTGACATCTACCTAGAACCTCTAATAGATGACCTAAACCATTTGTGGAGTGAAGGAGAGTCAACTTATGATGCCTTGATTAAATCTGTGTTTACTCTTAAAGCAATGCTTCTTTGGACTATTAGTGATTTCCCAGCGTATGGAAATCTTGTTGGATGCAAAGTGAAGGGGAAAATGGGATGTCCTTTATGTGGTAAACACACAGATAGTATGTGGCTTAAGTTTGGTAGAAAGCATGTTTACATGCACCATAGAAAGGGTCTTCCACCATCGCATAGGTATCGGGTTAAGAAGGCTTGGTTTGATGGACATACAAAACATGGGAGAAAGTCAAGGATTTTGAGTGGTCATGATATTTCTCATTTACTGTGAAATTTTAAAAATACTTTTGGGAATTTTAAAGAGTCTGCGAGGAAGAGAAAAATCACAGCTTGTGTTGAAGATGAAAATAAAAGTGATGGGCTGTCTAGTGATTATGAGGAAGAGGAAGAGGAAGAGGAAGAAGAGGGAGTAGATGAAGAGGAGTTGTCTAGATGGAAGAAAAGATCAATATTCTTTCGTCTGCCTTATTGGGAGGTAAAATATATGAGTATGTAATACATTTGAGTTTTTTCAGCATTTATAAAATAAGCTTGGTATAACTTTGGTTTGGTTATTATGTTTTCTAATGTAGGAATTGCCTGTAAGGCACAATTTGGATGTCATGCATATAGAGAGAAATGTGGCTGCCAGTATTGTCTCAACACTTTTACATTGCGGAAAATCAAAGGATGGTCTTAGTACTCGTAAAGATTTGGAACATCTTGGAATTAGGAAAGATCTGCATCCTGTTACTAGAGGTAAGAGAACTTATCTTCCAGCAGCTCCTTGGTCTTTGTCAAAGACAGAGAAGAAAGTCTTAAGCAAAAGACTTATTGACTTTAAAGGACCAGATGGATACTGCTCAAACATTTCAAGGGCTTTATCATTAGAAGACTGTAAGGTACAAGGTCTCAAATCATATGATTACCATGTGTTGATGCAACAACTCCTCCCAGTTGCAATTAGAGGTTTATTACCAAAAGGTCCTAGAGTAGCAATCATACGTTTGTGTACATTTTTCAACCACTTGTGTCAACGAGTCATTGATAGGGAACAGATTTCAGTAATGGAAGCTGAAATTGTTGAAACTATGTGTATGTTTGAAAGATATTTTCCACCCAGCTTCTTTGATATAATGGTTCACTTGGTCATACATCTCAGAAGGGAAGCTAGACTATGTGGCCTAGTTCAGTTTCGTTGGATGTACCCTTTTGAAAGGTAGTAATGCATCCTACATTATACTTTACAATATGTTTAGCTGAAAACAATCTGATTCTACCTTGGTGTTTATTATATGGAGGTACATGAAAGTGTTGAAAGACTTTGTTAGAAACCCGGCAAGACCAGAGGGTTGCATTGCTGAGTCATATTTAGCAGAGGAATGTGTCAGGTTCTGTAGTGATTTTCTTAAAAAAACAACCAATGTAGAAGAGAAGCTAGATAGGAATATTGAGTATGAGAGCAACTCTATCCTAGAGGGCCGGCCAATATCAGCAGCAACTTCATTTTCTCTTTCTGATATGGAAAAGAAAGTAGCTCATCTTGATGTTCTTCATAATACGGCTGTCATGGACAAATATGTCGAGTAAGTTTTCAAACTTTTACTTAACAAGTCATTTGCATAATGCTTCATTTTCCATTTTGTAACTGATTCTTTTTTCATTTTTCTTTAAAAAGTATGCACTTACAGTATCTACAAGAATCAAACACCAAATGTAGACGTGATGCGACGGTTTTATGGTGTACTCATACTCAGGATTTTGTAGCTTGGATTAAAAATGAGGTAAGTATTAAGTACTCTTTACAAAATTTATGTATTGTTCAAGAGTTTAACTAGAATATTTTCTGACTAAAATCTTTATCATGTAGATAAATATTAATTCAGATCAGCATGACGAAAGACTTAAATGGCTGGCCTATGGTCCCCGAAGTAGTGCAAGGTCATATACAGGTTATATAGTCAATGGACAGCGGTTTCACACGACTTCAGTTTCTAAACAATCTCAAAATAGTGGAGTCTTCTATGAGGCAACTGCAATGTGTAGAGCGAGTGCAAAGGATACTTCACAAGTGGCAGATTTAGTTACTTACTATGGGAGAGTTATAGACATTATACTCTTAGATTATAATGTCTTTTATATTCCTATATTCCGGTGTCAATGGGCAGTTAGAGGTAACGAGGTTAAAGTAGAAGATGGGTTCACGTTAGTTAACTTGAATCAGAGTCAAGTTTCCTTTATGAAAGATCCGTTCATATTGGCATCTCAGGCTAAGCAAGTGTTTTACTCAAAGGAGAATGATGAATCTGGTTGGTGTGTAGTGTTAAGAGGTCCTTCCAGAAGATATAGTGAGGAAGTGGAAGAAGATGAAAACACAGCTATAGGACCATTGCCATCCATAATTCAAATGGATGTTGAGTTAGAGGAAGAAGAATATGCTGAAAATGCTCGAGCTGATTGTGAAGGCATATATGTGTGTTATGATTTTTGTTTATTTGTGTGTTGATGTGCTTATGTTTGGTAGATGATTGTCTGCTTGATTATGTATTTTGTTCATAGGTAGATCTTTGTGTTCGTCTTTGGTAACTGTTACTAATGTTTGCTGTTATTTGTTTCAGGTGAATCAAAATGGGGAATAAAAAGATGACTAAGAAGTCCAAGAAAAACAAGAAGAAATCTGCTGATGAAGAGCCGGAATTTCTGGGTACGCTGGCTGTACCCTGATCAAGCTGTACCCTGATCAAACTGCAGCTGCTAATGAAGAAAGTGAATGAAGCAGGAGAGAATGAGGAAGAAAGAGTGACTGAAGACAGAGAGAATGAGGAAAGAGATACTGAGGAAGGAAGGCTAAATGAAGATGTTCAAGATGAAGAGCCTCTTGGTTTTGTTGAAATGGCACAGGCGCATGAGCGACCTAAGCGTAAAAAACATAGAGGTCCAACTAAGATGAAGAATATAGCTAAAGATCCAAATGTCCATGAAAGAGTTGAATTCAATGGCAGGGGACATGCTATTGGTCCTGGATCAGTGACGTTATCTTCTTATATAGGTACATTAGTGCGAGAACATGTGCCTTTCACAATTTCTGACTGGAGGAAAGTTAGTGATGAATTGAAAACAGTTATGTGGAAATCTGTTCAGGTCAAATTTCTTTACCCTCGCTTATTTCACTATTTATTAAATGCTTGTATGTTGATGTTATCTCAGTCAATTGTGCGTAATTTTATACAGGCAAGGTTTGAGGTTGATGAAGAGTACCAGAAGAATTATATAATGGTCACGATGGGTTGCAACTAGAGGTCCTCCAAATCAAGACTAGTATCGGCGATAAGATCCAAATCTACTAACCAAGAAAGGATGAATCTGAGACCACCTAATATTACGCCACCAGAATGGCGTAAGTTTGTGAAACTCAAAACAAGCAAGGAATTTGCAGCTGTAAGTGAATCTTACAAAGCGAGACGGCGAAAACAGATACCACACACTTGTAGCCGCAAAGGAATGGTCAGGCTGGAAGAAGAGTTGGTAACATCAACTACCTGAACTTTCATAGTATTAATTACTACCTTGTTTGAACAATGTGCTATTTTTGTAAAAGAAAGAACAGAGTGAAGAACCATCTGAAGTGACTAGGCTAAGGCTCTGGATCAAGTCACGTACAAAAAAAGATGGTACTCCAGTCAACACGAAAGCAGCACTATTAGGACCTGATAATCCAGGTCGTCTGAGGGCAATGGGAAGAAGCATGAGTAAGACCAAGTTAGCTTGTTTTCAAGTGAAGGAAAAGTTTATTCATGACATGGAAGAGAAACAACATAAGTTGGTTCACCAAGTTCATGCATTGGAAGATCAAATTAAGAGAATTTCTAAACAGCAGGTTTGTTAAGGGTATTAGATTTAAATTATAAAGTACTCATCTATATGTTTGTTTGACTTGGTTTTAAATGTGACAGAAGCAAGATACATAAGTTGGTGAAAACTCAGCTTCTGTAAAAAGGAAAAGTAAGTAATTTGTAAATGCTTATTTAGTTGATGTGCTTATATTAAATTCTCACAGTATTGAAATATATACTGCAGAGTGTTAACACAGAAGCACAAGGTCGTTGTGTGTTGGTTGATTGTCATCTTACTAATGAAAAAGTGGCTGAAGGATATCTTCTTAGCTCTGATCCGGATGGCTTTGTGGATGACATCCCCTTGGGCCCTGAAGCTGTTAAAGTGTTGGTTGATAAAGCAATTGTCTCAAAAGCCTTTCTTTGGAGACCTACAGCTGATATTTCTACAGTTGATGAAGCTGTTGGTCTAATCATTGCATGGCCTCTCAATAAATGTCTTCAATCAGATCATAGTGAAGACATTCTTCCAAGGGTAACAATTTCTTATCCACAATAATACTTATTAGTCTACTGTTAATAGTTTCTGAGATTATTTGTTTTATGCATTTGTTAGAGTCCAAGAATATCTTCTTTGAACAAACGCAAACTGCTGGATTAGTCTGGTAAAATTGATGGAGTGGTTGGTGAAGGTCGTTGGCAGTCTAAAGATCCAACAGAGTTGGTTAATGGTATTCCTCTAGGACCAAATCAAGTGAAAGTCTTTCTCGATGTGGTACATGTTGAAAAAGTCTTCTTATGGAGGCCTACAGCAAAAATTAAATATCTTGGGGAATCTTTGAAGTCATTCATATCATGGCCTGTCGATAAGTGTGATTTTGAAGATACCATAGATCTGCAGCCACATACCATCTCTACAAAAGCACCAAGTCCAAAAAATGCATCAAAAGGTACAACTTCTGCAACTCCAGTTTCTAACTCTCATAAGCAGAAAGAAACAGAATCATGTCCACAAGCGCCTGTAAAGAAAAAGCCACCACAACTTGCTCAGTCTCCACTTCGAAGATCTCAGGTAAGTAGCTCAATATCTACAATTCTAAGTGTCCACTACACTTAAGATTTTTTCATCTTAATTATAACTTGTCTTCTATTGCAACCATTGTAGCGTCACAGTCCAAGTGATGCTCCCAAAGAAAATCAGAAGTGCAAGTTAATGGATATTAGCGGTAACAACAAGGTGGTTGCTGAAGGACGTTGGGCGTCAGACAACCCAAATCACACTGTTAATTGTGTTCCCTTGGGTGATAATGCAGTTTAGGTTTGGGTTGATATAGTGAATGTGAATACTGCAGCTGTTTAGAAGCCGTCTTCTGAGATAAAGTGTCTTGGAGATGCATTTGGATCTGTAGTTGCATGGCCAAAGGATAAAGTGATATTGTGTTAAACTAATCAGGTTTACTCTACTACTGTTTTTATTTGTATTGAGACTTGAATGATGAATTTGAATTCTGTAATGTCTTATTGGATTTGGTAATGTAATATTGGTTGGTTTGAGACTTGTTTGATAGTGGTATCAGGTTTCAGGATAGTATGAAAATTGAAACAGGGCCATATTGCATAGAATTATTGATGTATTCGTCAATTACTATAGCATATACAAATGTTACAGCAAAACAATATGCAACACTGAACCAATGCTATAATAATAAAGCAATATTTTAGCATTAATACAAAAAGCTATAGTAAGACAGACCAAATAATAGCATGTAATAACAATGCTATCATAAAACTTATATAGCGTCAAAATAAATTGCTATTAAAGATGGTAAAATATCATAGCAAGTGCAAATCAACGCTACTATAGATGAAAAATATCGTAGCATTATCTAACCGCTCTAATAAGGATGCGACCTATTATAGCTGCGGCGAACACAGCATTTGATAATGAGCTATTAATCACTTTTGATAGCGTTAATCGTATGCTATCAATGCCCATATTTCTTGTAGTGTAAAGAATGTAGTTAGATTCATGACCTAACTCTTGATATCAAGTGTTTATGTTTCTCATAAGGTTACTTAATACACTCGAACCTAGCTTACGAATGTCCATCGTTTTATAACAAGCACACACAACTTAGTTATAGGGCTTTATGGACTAGAATTGAACTTGATCTTATTGCTTTGATCTATGTATCGTTGCCTGCGTGAGCTGAGTAACGGAATCTAGGGATTTTAGCCGACTTATCCTATAACCTAGGGTTAGCGGCTATCGTCATCTCCTTACATAAATTATATGAAAGCATGTGGTATCTCCATGTGATTGCTATTAATATATAGACTAGGAGTCAAGCCCTACATTCCGCTAATTAAGATTAAGATTTATATTATGGACACGTAATGATAAAAGGACAAGTAACTCTCATAAGCATTAATTAAGATTTATATTATTATTAGGAAAACATCCTGAAAAAAATGCGTTCGTAAGTTAAAAAAAATATTAAACAAAGAGTTATAATAAGTAGATGCAATTTTTTAATTTCTTAAACAATTATAAATATAATTAAATAAATATATTCAACAAAACATTATGATAAAAAGAAGCAATATTTTAAATTATGTTATGTTAAAGAGAGACAAATTGAGTTCTGAAAATTCATTTCCATTAGTAGAAAATATGTTTTTAATTAAGACTCTAATTTTGCATTACCTTCCTAATAATGTATGTGTTTTGTTTAAAACAGTTCTTATCGATGAAACTAGCAATTGTGAATCTAAGGCCGGATTTTGATATGGATGATATTTTTGCTAAAGAGGTTTGTCATTGATCTGTTTGTGTTTATATGAAAAAATTAAACTTTAAAAGTTAATTAGATGAACTAAAATAGGCCATGTGAATTTCAAAACCATGTAATTGTCTCAACTCCAATGACTGTGGTGCCATCTCCTGAAATGGTTCACTCCGGTATTCTCATGAGATGGTTAATTCCGGCTATTCCAATGAGATGGTTAATTCCGGTTATCATCATGTCAATCCAATGCAGCAAGCGGAAACCAGTTTTGATCCACTGTCATGCTTCAACGTACGGCATATTTTAAGTACTCTGTCATTATGATCTATTATTTAATTTAAGTTTGGTTTAATAATATTTTTTCATATATGTTTGATTATGTTACAGAATGGCCAAGCGAAACAAAATTTTTTGTCAATTCTAAGTGTCCACTACACTTAAGATTTTTTCATGTTAATTATAACTTGTCTTCTATTGCAACCATTGTAGCGTCACGGTCCAAGTGATGCTCCCAAAGAAAATCTGAAGTGCAAGCTAATGGATATTAGCGGTAACAACAAGGTGGTTGCTGAAGGACGTTGGGCGTCAGACAACCCAAATCACACTGTTAATTGTGTTCCCTTGGGTGATAATGCAGTTAAGGTTTGGGTTGATATAGTGAATGTGAATACTGCAGCTGTTTGGAAGCCGTCTTCTGAGATAGAGTGTCTTGGAGATGCATTTGGATATGTAGTTGCATGGCCAAAGGATAAAGTGATATTATGTTAAACTAATCAGGTTTACTCTACTACTGTTTTTATTTGTATTGAGACTTGAATGATGAATTTGAATTCTGTAATGTCTTGTTGGATTTGGTAATGTAATATTGGTTTGAGACTTGTTTGATAATCATGTTGTGGTATCAGGTTTCAGGATAGTATGAAAATTGAAACAGGGCCATATTGCATAGAATTATTGATGTATTCGTCAATTACTATAGCATATACAAATGTTACAGCAAAACAATATGCAACACTGAACCAATGCTATAATAATAAAGCAATATTTTAGCATTAATACAAAAAGCTATAGTAAGACAGACCAAATAATAGCATGTAATAACAATGCTATCATAAAACTTATATAGCGTCAAAATAAATTGCTATTAAAGATGGTAAAATATCATAGCAAGTGCAAATCAACGCTACTATAGATGAAAAATATCGTAGCATTATCTAACCGCTCTAATAAGGATGCGACCTATTATAGCTGCGGCGAACACAGCATTTGATAATGAGCTATTAATCACTTTTGATAGCGTTAATCGTATGCTATCAATGCCCATATTTCTTGTAGTGTAAAGAATGTAGTTAGATTCATGACCTAACTCTTGATATCAAGTGTTTATGTTTCTCATAAGGTTACTTAATACACTCGAACCTAGCTTACGAATGTCCATCGTTTTATAACAAGCACACACAACTTAGTTATAGGGCTTTATGGACTAGAATTGAACTTGATCTTATTGCTTTGATCTATGTATCGTTGCCTGCTTGAGCTGAGTAATGGAATCAAGGGATTTTAGCCGACTTATCCTATAACCTAGGGTTAGCGGCTATTGATACTAGGATTTTACTATCAATTACCCTAGATTACTATCATGTCATTGCAGCAATTTAGGTTGTCAATCCAATCAGGTGCTCTATTTATCAATCAAGATGCGATCAGAGAATACTAAGTCAAGCCAAGCAGAATAGAAGGTTGTTTATCTAACAATCCTAAGCAATCATGCATAAAAACGAATAAACTACTGAACAGGAATGAACATGCATAAAGAGAAACAACTATCAAAACTAAGCAGAAATAAGCAAGCAGGTCGAGTAGAACACATAAACTAACAGAAACAATAAACGAGCAAGCAATAGAGATAAAGGGTCTTGAGGAATGGGGTAATCGATTATAGCAGTCTCCTTAGTCTATCTAGGTGGTTAACAAACTCAATCAAGCTATCCCTAGACAATAGATTCGAATACAAATCAATCCACTCTCGTGACAGAGATTCTCAAGCTAAATCACTTTCATACTCAATTCTCATTGAAGAAATATAACCTAGCAGGCATTATGATTCAATCTAATAAAGTCAATAAGCATTCTAAACATCCAATCTCTTGGGCTAGAGTATGCAAATCTCTGGAATAGTTGGTTCAGACATTTCATCAAACACCTTGTGGGTGTGGAAATGTCTAAGATCAACTTCCAATTGATCAGAGAGGAAATAGCATTAAGATCTACTAAACCAGAAGGGAAATCAAGCAATTCTACACTTAACCACCTAAATATACTAAGGATTCCACACCTAATATAACCCATCCTCAAGAACCCTAATCCACTACTCAAGAACACTGAAGAACATCATGCATAAAAACCCAGAAAATTGCATAAACCCAGAAATCATTGAAAAGCAAGTATGTTATAGATGAGAACAAGATCTACAACTTTGAAGAAGAAACGAAATTCAAAAACTCAAAGATTCAAAGGGAAAAACGATTACAAAACTAGGGTTTTTAAAGAGAGCAGCGGAATATCTGCTGGGTAAAAGGAATATCCGCTGGATAATAGCGTGAACCCCTATTTATAGGAAATACTAGGTTGCCCTAATTAGCTACAAGACAAAATAGAGAGTCGGCGGAGGACCGACTCGACGTGACGTCGAGCCCGTGTCGTTGAGTCCATGTGCTCGAGTCCATTCCTCCACAGCTTCTTCACGTCCTACTCGACTTGGAGCCGAGCCTGGTAAGTCGAGTCTGTCCTTTGGTGATCTCTGAGCACCTGCTCGACCTCATGTCGAGTCCATGACGTCGAGTCTGGTTCTGGATACTCTTGAATGGCTTCATTCCTCTCCAACTCGATCCCAAGTCTAGCTCCAAGGTTGTGTTGGCTCCTCCTTACTCCATTAAGTCCCAAAATAAACCCCAAAGCACCTGAAACTCATCCAATATGCAACATGATATACCATGCAATGCAAATCGTACTAAGTGATGAAAATGATATAAAAAGGACTCTGGATGCAATGAAAGAGAGGTGAAACTTAGCTAAATGCACGAGAAAAGTGTGTTTAAAAGTGGTAAAATACAGAGACATCAACTCCCCCAAACTTAGCTCTTGCTTGCCCTCAAGCAAACAAATAGAACTAAGCTGGAGAAGAGGTTTGAAGGTGGAGACTCAGAACCAAAAACATGCATATAGAGTAAGTGAATTCAATGTCCAGGTTGTTAATTCTAGAATGCAAGGTTGACTGATCTCTACTTAAAAACATTAGACATCTCCTTCACATCTCAACCTAACCTCTGCCTTAATCAATTCAAGCATTCAAATCAGCACATTCCCTTTAACATTGATTAAGTAGGAACCGTGAATCATACTATGCATTGGATAAGAACACATTTGGCTTAAGGGTAAAGGTTTAGAGACAAAGATGGTCCCTTAAAGATCTGGTTTAAATCGCAACAGGGAATCTCTCAAGAATGATTGAGCTTTAGTAGAATGCTAAAGGTGAGTATCAAGCTATGCATACAAGGATAAGACCCCATCTACCCAGAATGTAATCAATATCAACTCAAATGGAGGTCCTATTTCTAATCCCAGAACATGAACTTAACTCTACCCTTTTGCACTCCAAACATTCACAGACTTTTATTCACATCATTCCTTTCTTTTCTTTGCTTTTCTATCCTAGGAGAAGCTTTCTTACTTTGCTCTGTCTAGCGGATTAGGATTCTTTAACAACTAGGGTTCCCTTTTCTTTCTTCTCGTAAACACA